AGCATAAAAACAAGTTTCATTTATTCTTACAATAGCCTTATGATTTTTTGCTCAGAAATTCTGTGTTGTGTATTTACATTTTTAAGGCATACAATATTCATTTAATCTATCTTTTAAGTAATGAAAATTAAACAAATGTAATTTTTTGGAAAATAAAGGTCATTTAATATTACAATTAAAACATTGAAGAAATATTGTATGATTATTCCTTAAAATAAGGTTTTAATAATTTTAGTAGTAGTAGTACTATTACATACATTCTACTGAACAATAGTAATATATTTCTTCTGCAATGTCTTCAAGTTAAACCGAACTTTTATTTTGACGGGTTGCCGTGAATACCTTTACATTTCTGTGTGTGTATGATTATGAGGATAGTTTTACTCAAATGAAATGGTCAAATGCTCATGAAGTGACTCTCAGAGCAGTGCTGGAGATGTTGTTTATGTATTTATGTCCTCATTTAGAGAGACGGCAGACGCTAAAATCACCGCAAGCTTCACGCGCGCTTCAGTACAAGTGGTAAACAAAACCGCATGTCTGCGCCATTCATTAACACAGAGACATGAAGAATTCATATTTAAATAGTCGTTTTGCGGCTTAATATTTACAAATACTAGTGGGAGTGTGCTCACTTGTGTGTGTGTGCGCGCGCGCGCATTGGGGCGGAACTCCGCTGTGCGTGATACAAAGAGCGCGACCATATCTTAGAGACCGAAATCACATGCTGTCGTGTAAATAAGATAAATAACGTAAGGCTATTTAGTTTGTTTAATAAAAGAACAAGGTATAGACCTGTTCTATCCGCCCCCCTAATATAATGGCAGGGGAAACACTGCTATTAAAGCATTAACTATGTTAACAAATGTAACCATAAAGTGTTACTACATAAATAACAAAGATAGACCTTTAGGGAAATTTGTAACATTCACTGCAAGAAAAGAAAAAAAAGAGAGCTCACCATCTTCCTCTTCGATAGATTAGCAGTATCCACAGCGATGACTGCATCCCGTGCACCAAGGTACAGCATCCCAGACACACGGTCCAATAGGAAGGTGCTGAAGTTATTTACGCCACCAAAATCAGCAGAACCAAGCCTAGAAATGTCTGCTGAGAAAAAGAAAGAAGCATGGATTAGATCTCATATATCGAAAGATTTGTCCTAGCAATTTTCAATAAGTCATATATATTAAAAATAAAAACTTTCCTCATTGCATTCATGCTCACACAGACTTTTGAAGCTATTCATACTAAAATAATGATATTTACTTCACCCAATACCAGGGGTTCTCAACTCTGGTCCTCGAGGTCCTCTTTCCTGCAGAATTTACCTCCAACCTTGGTCAAACTCACCTGCCAGTAACTTTCTCATAACAGTGAAGATCTTGATTAGCTTGTTCAGGTGTGTTTGATTAGGGTTGGAGCAAAACTCTGCAGGAAAGCGGATCTCGAGGGCCAGAGTTGAGAACCCCTGCCATATACCCTTTCCCTCACACAAGCCTGACATCAAACTGACTCATCAAACTACAGCAAAATATGATTCATGAACCTTTCAAGTAGTGAAGACCACTTCAAATATTTTTACAAGTTGGTTTCACTATATTTGTGAGGATATTTTCTTTCAAGAATAGCCAAACATTTACACACACACACATTCTGAATGTCTGTTTAGCATTGGTGAGGATTAGTAATTCTGTTCAGATATGTATATTAGCATGTGGGTTGAGGCTCTGACATTTTAATGCTGTTTAAGATGTGCTATATCTGATGCCCATGGTGAATTTAATACAGCATCTGCACTACACTTTATTTAATCTGTTCCTCTTTATTTTAAATGTGAAACACTCATTTGCTCCATTACTGCAATCACAACCATGTCTGTGTATTTAAGAGATTAGAGAAATATATATAAAAAAAGCGAGAGAAGAAGGATGGCAGAGAAGATTTGAGAAGAGGACGGATCACACTCACACTCATGAGTGTCAGAGTATCACAGTAAGTGACACTAAGAAACATAAAAGTCTGATCTGTACGAGTTGTTCTTGCCATGAAACCAACAGAAATGTTATGTAGTACATGAATGCTCATTTCTAGAGTAGTTCAGACTGTTAATATCCTGTGTCTCGTCTGTTCAGTGTCTGAACTCATGGGACGACATTAAACAGATTCTCCTACTCTCAATCTTTGAGTCAATCATGCAACATTCCCTCTTCTTTTATTTGCACACATACTCTTTTAAAGGGGTCATATGATGCGATTTCAAGTTTTCCTTTCTCTTTGGAGTGTTACAGGCTGATTGTGCAGATCCCTGAAGTTGCAAAGACTAAAGTCTCAAAACCAAAGAGATATTCTTTATCAAAGTTAAGACTCTGCCACGCCCCCCTAAACAGGCTCGTTCTAACACGCCCCCACATATCTAGGTCACTATGTGGGAATATTTGCATAATGCGGCCAAATGTGCATGCAAAGAAAGAAGGCAAGGAGGGGGCTTTGTAGAAAACGAAGCGTTTGAGAGAGGTGGGGCATAGAGGACCTACAATAATGTACAGTATTTGAAAAATAATGTGTTTTTTGAACATTAAAGCATGTCAACATATTCTGTTACACCAAATACACAAAATAATGATCTTTAAAAAAGCATCATATGACCCCTTTAAGTTCAGGCCTGCATAGAAATGTTTGGACAAAATTATATACCACACTAAAAACAATCCTATTTATCAAGGCCTATTCAAACCAAGATGGCTTTTTGGTGCAAAAAAATTAGTGATAAAACATTTTATTTGAATGATGGCAGTTAACACATCTGTTCACACCGACAAGAACTTTCGAATGCCGTCTAAGGATAGGTGAAAAAAAAGGCTGTTTGAAAACAGTTGTTAGACTTTGCTGTGACAGGCAGATGGAAAAAATGGAAAATGTGTTTTTATTGCAACATTTTGAGTACAGAATACAGAATTAAAGGCAATTATGACAAATATCAGTCAGCGCAATATCATAGCAATATCTCGATATGCAAATATCATCACACTCTTTGTAATAGTGTACTGCTGTATTTCTGCTTTTCCATAATTGCCACCAACTGCAAGAGAGTGAAATTGCATTTTCTTCCAGCCATCTGCCATTTCATTTACATTGGTCTGAAGAGACACATATCACAGCAGATTATAACCATACTGGATTTTCATGTCGAACATTTATTTTGATGTGAACAGGCCTTTAAGGGGTATGCCATGTCTAAAGGTGCATTCACGCCATATTGTAAGTACTGTAATTATGAAATACGAACTTGTAAAAAGCATTCACATCCTCCTAGAACTCGTAGTTACAACTTGTGAACTGGGACTTTTCTGAGAGCTACAACTTGACCACTACCTGACCACCTCAGATTCATTACGTGCTATGTTTAGGCATTGATAATGCGATAGCTCCAGGGGTGTGAACAGCTCCAAGTGTTGTCATTTTGAAATTACAGTAATTACGACATGGCATGAATGCAGCATATATATGCGTCTGAAGAAAATGTGAGCAGTGATTTCCCATGCATAGTGACAGTATGTCATAATGCTAATATGTTGTAGGTGGTTGCTAAGGCGTTGCTAAGGTGTTCTGAGTGGTTTTAGCATATTTTTATTTTATGTAGTTGTTAAGGCCAGAGTACACTTTATGTACAGTGCATGTTATGTAAAAGTAATCATATTGTACACCCATAGACAAATTTATCTGACCATGTATTCTTTGTATGTTTAGCTCACACATGGGCTTTGAATATTTTTGGGCTAATTAGTTTATACACAATATGGCAACTCTACCTTGGCCTGATGTTTCGCAATCAAAAAAAAGAGAGAGAGAGAGAAAGAAATGGATGAGACAGAACAACAACAAACTACCAGAGATGGCAACAACATGCCGGCATTGACATGCATTTCTGTGAGGGGGTTAGGAGATAACCGCAACTCTAGTTTAAACAAGCACAAAGCCATTTTTATCTGTCATAACTTCTGAAAAGAAATAGCACAGACTGGACAAGAATGAAAGTTCTAGTATGCATGTGTTGACCACCTGTGTTCATGTAGGTTATCAAATGAAGTGTACTTTGAAAAACGTTTAGCTGTGTTCACATCAAAATGGAAGTATACTTTGGGATTTAGAGTGTTCTGGGTGGTTTTTATGCTGTCATATGGTTGCTTAGGTGTCCTGAATGTTTGCTTAAACATTGTTAGGTGGTTGCTTGCATTAGGCTTCTAACATTATATTCTTTTCACCATCACACACACACATATACACATACATATCTGTATGTGGTTTACGGGGACTCTCCATAGGTGGGTGCTTTTATACTGTACAATGTATTTTCTATCACATTGCCCTAAACCTACCCATCACAGAAAACGTTTTAGGTTACGTATGTAAGTCTGGCCCTAACAGGTAAGTATTTTTGGGGTATGTAGCCTAGGCCTTTGGCCGTAGGGGATAAAGTCACGGACAGCCGTCTGACGTCCCAGGGGCAACTCACCATGAAAATGGTAAAGTTGGTACTTAGTGCTCGCCATGGTTTCTGGCATGCACTCCCCTCAGCATGGTGGCGTGGGTATACCGTTCCCCATAGCGACCCCTAGAGGACGCAGTTCGAAGTTCCCATGAAAGGGAACGTCTCAGGTTACTTATGTAACCATGGTTCCCTGAGTAGGGAACGAGACACTGCGTCCTCTAGGGGTCGCTATGGGGAACGGTATACCCACGCCACCATGCTGAGGGGAGTGCATGCCAGAAACCATGGCGAGCACTAAGTGCCAACTCTACCATATTACAGTGGGAGTTGCCCCTGGGACGTTAGACGGCTGTCAGTGACATTATTCCCTACGGCCAAAGGCCTAGGCTACATACCCCAAAAAACGTACCTGTTAGGGCCAGAACTCCTGCGCCCGGGGTAGAGATCAAGGCTTGGAATCAGGTGCGTAGCTCTTACCATACAGGATTCTAGAAAAGAACGCAGAGTACTAGCGTGCGAACTTACCACAGTGTGGATTTTAGAAAGTGTACAAAGACTTCACGTGCACACTTACAATAACATGGATTTTAAACAATACCGTTCTAAGGGGAGGGGTTCTCGTGGCACTCTGAAGGAGCAACCCATAGATGGAAATGATGCATCCCAAAAACACTATGTTTGAGAAGTCATTAACTCGATCTAAGGCTTATAATGCTGGAGTGGCTAGCAGTAAATCTGTAGCTGAGGGAGCAAACATCCAGCTCTCAATCGAGAAGGAGCTCGACCTACAGCATGTTCCAAAGGTGGAACAGCTAGCAGTTACTTAGCTGAGGGAGCAACACCCCTAGTTCTCAAACGAGAGGAGGCTCGACCTGCAGCATGTTCCAAAGCTGGAACAGCTAGCAATAATTTACCTAGCTGTGGGAGCAACACACCTAGTTCTCAGTCGAGAAGGGGGCTCGACCTACAGCATGTTCCAATGCTGGAACGGCTAGCAGTAATTTACCTTAGCTGAGGGAGCACAA